GAACTGTTCGTGCTGTGATCTACAAGCGTCGTATGGTCTCGTCGGGTCAAAATGAAAAACCTACTACTACTGTATTTGACGGACCTATTGAAGATGGCACAAAGAATTATTGTTATTTTGAGTGCTTTGTATATGTGACTCCTTTTTAGGCTGTCCCCGGGGAAAATTGCGATTCCGCGGCCGCGTTTTTTTCCGCGTTTTTTGCGATTTTTTAAAAGACCGCGTTTTCCGCGATTTTCCCGCGTTTTTTGAACTTTTTGTTGCACTACACGTACACACAGTGCACTTTTCGGTCAGCAACGTCTCATCGTGGCGGCTTTTTACTCAAATAATGGGTGCTTTATACACCAGAGACTTGTAACTGATTGATTTCACTACATACTCACTGAAAATTGCCGCATTCACCGCATATTTACCGCATATTTACCGCAAATTCACCGCAAATTATGCCGCGTTTTTCCCCGCGTTTTTTGCGATTTTTTTCCGCAATTTTCCCCGGGGACAGTTTAGGGATTGAATGTCATGCTTTGGCTAGTCGTGATAAATCCAATATTGACTTCGCACTAGGTCAATATAGAAAATAAAACTTCGTAAAAGACCCCGCAAGCTCGGCCTTTCCTCGGCTCTTATTTCCTATATTGACATCGTACTCCGTCAATATTCACGATATGATGATATGATATTAGAATACATATCACTGGCTGCCCGAGATCGTGACTACAGTCGGTCTCCTGATAGTAGATCTACTGGGAGGCTGCACTACTGTGGCTACTGGTCACATGATAGTGCCCCCGGTGCAGGTACAGCATAATTAATAGTAATACGAAGCAAAGGAGAAGGCAGAGTAAAACTTACTTTGAAGCATCATGAAGAACGTTTAGAAAAATATCGAGTTGTAATAGGAAATAGAATAGAAGGGTGAGATCATAGCAGCTGCTTATAAAACTTCAACAAAATCAGTCAATTTTCATTAGTTCAAAAAAAAAAAAGAGTAAATTATCGTGTCCGTTCCCGAAGGGCCAAGGGAACCATTAGTTTGAGGGATGTGAAAAGGGAATTCATCTGCAGAAAACAATTGACTGTAATCGCATCACCGGGGGGGGGGGGGGGGCATCGTCAATTTTCAAATACAGGACATGTACCCTGCCTACCTTTCTAAGATACCCGGCTGATTATGATTGTACATGTACATGTTTTGTGTGTGTGTGTGTGTGTGTGTGCGCGCACGCACGCGCGCGCGTGTGTATGTGTGTGTGTGTGTGTGTGTGTGTGTATGTGTGTGTGTGCGCGTGTGTGTGTGTGTGTGTATGTGTGTGCGTGTGTGCGAGCATACTGAGTTTGTGATACTTGTACAATGTAATAGCACCAGTGCTTACACTGGGGGGAAAGAGTCAATATCGAGATGAGTAAATGGCACATAAGCCACCATACATATAGTCCAGGGCTTGAAAGATAGTATAACAGAGCAAGACAAACTCATCAGTTCAAATTCCAGACTATTCTAAGCCGCCGCAGAATGAACTGACGTGAATAGTGGGTGTGAATGAACTGCGGTCTTGGAGCAGTTTGACGGCATCTTGGCGTACAGCTCTTTTGAAATGACTTAGCGAGGTGTAAGGGTAATCTCAATATCTCTGCTTGGATGAGTGACCAGACCATATTCTTTCTGAATATCATCAACACCTGCTAGCTGGAACCTGAAGCGTCGACACAGCATGCTAATCACAATCTGAACTTCGGCAATGGCAAACTGATAGCCAGGGCACCTACGGCCAGACAGGCCGAACGGCTCAAACGATCGGGCAGGTCGTGCGGCAACATTCTCTGGAGTGAAGCGGTCAGGGTCAAACCTTTGCAAACACAACAGAAGACCACAACACAGCACTCTAAATCACACCATATCTTATGGTTTGTAGAGTTAAAACGAACAAACAAGCTTGATGGAGAAATGCCAGTAATACAGAACATGACATGATCGTATGAGCAAGAAGTGAGGGGAGATAAGCACCGTCAACATGTCCATCAACACCCAATACTCTCAGGCCCAGAGCCAGCTGCTCATGACAGTACGTGAAGTGCAACACTTACAAGATGTCCTCTCCGGGACGGGAAATGATAAATTAGAATATGTAGTGACTTGAGCCTGAGGAGACTGACAACTCACCTGTCAGGGTCGGGCCAGATTGTAGGATCATTCAGGACAACTCCCAGTGCAATCACAATCGAAGACTGGACCGGGAAATTCAGAACAACAACAAATGACAGGCTCAAATGACACAGGTTCAAGGGACGTGCAGAAAAGCAACCTCTCCATCAAATAGTATAGTTTTATTTAGTTGGATTGGTCGGCATACAACACATATGTTTCCTTCCAAGCTTGCATGTGTAGTTGCTGAACAGGCATTCATGACCCCCAATTGATTGTTTCCCCAAGGTAAGCGGCTGTACGTGTATCTATGCGTGCATGTGTGTATGTGTCCATGTGTGTATGTGTCCATGTGTGTATATTATACGTGTGTGTGTGTGTGTGTGTGTGTGTGTGTGTGTGTGTGTGTGTGTAGTGTGTGTGTGTGTGTGTGTGTGTGTGTGTGTGTGTGTGTGTGTGTGTGTGTGTGTGTGTGTGTGAGAGAGAGAGAGAGAGAGAGAGAGAGAGTGAGTGAGTGAGTGAGTGAGTGAGTTCCGGGTTTTGTAGTGGTGTTGAGTTCGAAACAGGACGACTGACGACACATTATCCAGACATTACAACGGGAACAGGTAGGTTGGGGGAACGACATTTATTAGAGACGACGAGACAAGAGACCAAGACGAACGAAACGACTACATTGTAGAGTGAGAAAGAGATCAAGTCTGAACGGCAAAAATAAAGGGCCTGGGTAGCTATGGCAAATATGGGCGCGCAAGTAGCTACCCAGGCCAACGGAACAAAAGGAGACAAACGGTGAGTACGCAAGTGCATGCAGGCCAGCTAGAAAAGGTACGGGAGGAGGTACCTAACAGTGGAGTAGCTCACTCTCCCAGTAGCGTTCCTACTGGACAATCTGACAGTGTCCACATTCAAGACTGACAGTAGCCTCACTACCTCTCCCTCTTCCCTCACTGGATATCCAGTCACTGAGTGCTTTCTTGAGTTACTAGTGCAAGCTATGCTATCAGAAGTATGCAGAGGAATGTACCTCCGCCCCGTGCTATTAATGGAGACGTTCCTTTATTGGAGACTGTTCCCTTATTATTTCAACCTCATTTCAGAGGCGTTGCCATGCCAAATTCATGTCAGACACACACATTTCAGGGGTTTTTCGCCGGTACAGATCATGAATTTACACAGTGTGCTTATAATGGAGATTGAGCACTTTATTTTTTGAATGCCGCCCCAAGGTGTTCTATTATTGGAGACATGCTATTATTAGAGACTGTGCTTATATTAGAGATAATACGGTAATCGACTGTGCACTGCATGCAACGACTTACGTTCTATAGGCGCCGAGGGCGCCGGCCCCGGTCAATCGACTGGATTTCCATGTCCGCGACAGTACATTGTATTGCATTCGGTATTATTTTACTTGGGCATTCCCAACAGACCCTCTAAGACGTCTTCTTACAGGGTGCCCAAGATGAATGAGTGTGTTTTAAAGTTCCTGGTGAAATGAAATGGGGATATGATTAGTGCGGAAGGATTCGGGAAGGGCATTAAAAAGCGGTCAGCACCAAGGGATGAAATAGATTTGTACGTGACTGTACACAAAATACTTACTCCGGCAGGGATAGTGTAGCCGTTAAGTTCAATGTCTTCATCGAAGACGCGCGCAGCCCAAGGCGCCAGAACTGAACACCGCAGCGATTCATCGACAACCCGACGCGAGACCCTACATTGGAGCAGATCATATTCATTGCATGTGATAATGTCACGCTTCTGGATAGGCTGGGGTGGCACATATAATTGCATGAAACTGGAAGGAAAAACACCAGACAGACCCGTGCCTGTCCTATATACTCCAACAGTCGAACAGCATCTAAAACTCAACCTCTACAACCGTGCACAGTACTGCCGCCGTCAGCCTGGAAGATAATGACCTTCGGACGGCGAAAAGTGTTGTGTTTTGCAAGTTGTTGTTATTTGTGCTGTTGAAAGTATGCAATGAAAATTAATGGTCACCAGTTCCGAAGACAGTTTCCTTATATTCATGAATTATTCCGAGGGTGTCATTCGCGAGGTTGATTGCACTACTGTAACTCTGCTGCACCACAAATAGACAGCTTACACCCCAAGGCTAGACTGGGTGGAGCAACATCAGAGTACAGCTTACACCCCAAGACTAGACTGGGTGGAAGGTGTGACTAGGACCCAGCCAATACATGTGTCATGGCCGCGCTTGGCGGGTTTGTGACTTGGCTTAGATCAGTCTAGTGGCTACCCAGGTAGACGACCAATATAGTCGCCATCCAAGTTGCTAGCTCACATAGAACGACAGGTTTCTAATTCCACTTGAACAGTGTTTATTTGAACCATTGCAGTACTAGATCGAAAGATCAAGTGTGTAGAGTCAAAAGACCAAAGCAGGAGAGAGTCGGAGTGACTCTCTCAGAATCGAGAGGAGTAGTGAGCTCCCCGAGAATCGAGGATGAATGTTAGCAAAACAGCTCCTTATATATGCTACATTATGTGATCAAAAGTATACAGTGGCAAGAATGCGTAAGGATTATTTCTATATTACAAACAGTGGTGCAATATGTGCAATCAGCCAAACTAGAATATAGTACAAAGAATGATCAATCAATACGGGGAGCTCGCTCACCCACATTACATGAAAGGACTCTGAGGCTCTTCGTGCGACGGGGGCCTGGAGTATGCTGTCGGAAGTTGCTGCAGCTAGAGCACGCCGCCTCCGTACGCTGCCTTGGTCGTTGGTCACCCTTCATCTCCTGCCCGTAGGCTCTTCCCTCTCATTACCCCGTAGGGTGCTTCACGGTCAAGCCGTGACCTCTCCCAAAAAGGGGATAACGGAGTCCGCAGTGCGCGAAGCACTTGCAGGACCCTTTACGTCGTACGACGCGAGAAGAGGTGCCATGCTTGCTCGACTAACAAAGGTATCAGCTCCCTTGCAGGACTAAGCAGGGTCCCCTCAAGCTCAACAGTGTAGTGAGTACAATGCTGACGACTTGTACTGAAGGTGTAGCCGCCGTACAACAACACTTGTGACTCGAGGCCACGAGTTGTAAGCCATGATTGCTCAACTAACGAAAGTGCCAAATCCTTCGCGGGACTAATCATGGTTCTTACAGAACTCTAGAATATTTCGGAGCCCAGCTTTTGGCTGCTGAACTCAATGCATGGTCGCTTTCATGACGAGTCTGATCCGGGTCATGACAATTCCCCGGCCTCTCAAGAATCACGTCCCCGTGATCTCAACTAACATTAAAGTCAGCGAGTCGTGACGGTAACCGCCTAGCTCTCGTTGGCCAAGCCAACGGGTTCTGCACCGCAACAGGTACGGGCATAGAGTACGAAATGTGGCTCCACAGGAGGGACATTTCCATCAAAAAAATTTCCAACTTCAAATGAAACTGGTACTGCTCCACTATCGTAGAGATGAGCCTGGTGCTGATGATCAACACGCAGCTTGTCATGTACAACTAAATGCACGTTGCACATCTTCACGCAAGCGTATACGTATGACAGTTCGCCATTTCGTGTCATCTCAGATGAATGTAGACCATAGGCCATAACGTGTGGTCGACACACCCTTCTACCACGTTGGTATCCGGTTCAGTACAAAAACTGCTGCAGAGCTCCAGGAGCCATTTCATAGATTTGGTGGTATCCAACGAATCGGTTCCACCCATTACAAAAGACCTTGGCGACCTCGCCAAGACTTCCACGGTAGGTTCATTGCTGCCAGCAAGGACAGACACAATGGCATACGCCTAGTAGCCTGTGCAACAGGACCACGATCACGTGTCTCAATTTTGTAGTGTAGCACCGAAGTGCGATCAAACTCAGATGGGTTCAAAGCGAACGCATCTCGATACCGAAGCACTAAGGCTTGCAAGCAGTGGATCTCCTCGCAGGAGATACCAGATTGTCCCAGAGATGTCTCATTACCATCTCTTCCGACCCCCACTTCCGTGTGTTCCAGGTCCGAGTCCCAGCTCGTCCACACACCTAGGCTCCAGGATCGAGTCCAGCTCGTCCAACCTACAGGCTCCAGGGTCGAGTTCGTCCTCGCCCAACCTCAAAGGTTCCATGGATGAGTTCGTCCTCTTCCAACCTTTCCGGGGGTCCACAACCGGACATCTTGCGCCAATGCGCAACTGCTTCCAGACCCCGAGAGAGTCCTCCGTCTCAGCTATTTGAACTGATTCCTCTCCCTGGCCATCAGCCAGAGTGTCTTCGGTCACGATACTCACGACCTCAGATATTGGTTCTAACCGACCAATCTGCATTGCCCTCTCTAGAGCCACTGCCTCGTCAGAGTAATTCAACACCCGTACGGGAACACCATCCACCGTAGGGCTCACTAGCGCATGCGCCATCATGACATCATTCATTCCTTGAAAACACCCATCAGGTATCGTCAAGGCACAGGTCGGCAACCCTTCCGACGTGTCTAGCACGGCGTTAACCGTCACCTCCGACAGGGGAGTATCACTTCACGCCTCCGCAAGCGAAGAACGTGCTCTCGTTTGCCATCACCATCATGGCTCGGCGGAACGACATCAGCTTTAGAAGCTTTTAAAAATGCACTCCTCCATCACCCGAAGTGATCTCGCAAGGAATTGGGACAGCACATCGCGTCCAATGTCAGAACCAGTAACCAACATCATACTCAGTACGTGACGAAACACCACAGGGTGCGGACGTCGCGACATATCCGACACCAAACAGGCATCGTCCAACACAGAAATGCTGGTTTCAGGTGGGCATCAGCTCACTAGTGATTTCCATCACACTCCAATCAAAACATTCGAGATCCGCATCAACGAACTCAAATCAGCAGTTGTTCAAGCTCTCTGCAGAACTTGTTACTGTATCATCGTTTCAGCCAGCATCTCAACTGGTGCGCCCAGTTTCGAAATCTGGCTTCGTGACTCCGTCACACGACAAGGACATAGTCCTCTTGACTGTTTTTGAACCGTCAAAGTTCAAAAAGAACAGCAACACTCCTCAACTGCAGCTGAGGGCAACGTAGAAGCTAAGCTTCATGCAGTCATCGATCCTGCCACTGCAAGACGACTCAAAAAGCCTAAAAGCATTTCGCTTCTCGAGCAGTTTCTGTGCAAGCGCTGACAAAACAGCAGAGTTTCCTCATTGCACGTCCTTGCAAGAACCTCCGTGGGTTCGAACAATGCGCCGTCTACACCGCAAATCGAGTGCAGCTGACACATATCTCAGACCAACAAGTGGTGCGGGAGTCGAAACTCTCGTCAGCGGCATGACCGACTTTCGCCAGGTCTTCCGGAACAAGTTGGCACGCCAACTGGTAAAGGTAGCAACAGCTACAAAACAGAACGAGTTCACGTTCCATGTGCACGCACTCAGACAGAGTGTTCAACTGAACGGACCAAGGCCAGAACAGAACAAAACAGTTCGCTTCCGAATCCACTTGAGAACTGCATGCAGCCTCGTGAAATCGACATCAAATTCACACCTCTGCGTGCTCGAGTAAACAAGAGCTCAGAGTTCAGCATGGACCAGTGCACACCGAGTTACCATGGTTACGACTACTCTGCCGGAGCAACAGCAAGACGCAACTTGGATCCTGGTCACAGCACCAAATGTCATGGCCGCGCTTGGCGGGTTTGTGACTTGGCTTAGATCAGTCTAGTGGCTACCCAGGTAGACGACCAATATAGTCGCCATCCAAGTTGCTAGCTCACATAGAACGACAGGTTTCTTGAACAGTGTTTATTTGAACCATTGCAGTACTAGATCGAAAGATCAAGTGTGTAGGGTCAAAAGACCAAAGCAGGAGAGAGTCGGAGTGACTCTCTCAGAATCGAGAGGAGTAGTGAGCTCCCCGAGAATCGAGGATGAATGTTAGCAAAACAGCTCCTTATATATGCTACATTATGTGATCAAAAGTATACAGTGGCAAGAATGCGTAAGGATTATTTCTATATTACAAACAGTGGTGCAATATGTGCAATCAGCCAAACTAGAATATAGTACAAAGAATGATCAATCAATACGGGGAGCTCGCTCACCCACATTACATGAAAGGACTCCGAGGCTCTTCGTGCGACGGGGCCTGGAGTATGCTGTCGGAAGTTGCTGCAGCTAGAGCACGCCGCCTCCGTACGCTGCCTTGGTCGTTGGTCACCCTTCATCTCCTGCCCGTAGGCTCTTCCCTCTCATTACCCCGTAGGGTGCTTCACGGTCAAGCCGTGACCTCTCCCAAAAAGGGATAACGGAGTCCGCAGTGCGCGAAGCACTTGCAGGACCCTTTACGTCGTACGACGCGAGAAGAGGGGCCTTGCTTGCTCGACTAACAAAGGTATCAGCTCCCTTGCAGGACTAAGCAGGGTCCCCTCAAGCTCAACAGTGTAGTGAGTACAATGCTGACGACTTGTACTGAAGGTGTAGCCGCCGTACGACAACACTGTGACCATCTAGAGAGGGCAATGCAGATTGGTCGGTTGGAACCAATATCTGAAGTCATGAGTATCATGACCGAAGACACTATGGCCGATGGCCAGAGAGAGGAATCAGCTCAAATAGCTGAGACAGAGGACTCCCTCGGGGTCTGGAAGCAGTTGCGCATTGGCGCAGATTGTCCCGCTCTAACTCCCCGCTGTGGAAGGGACGAGCTGGTCTCAGTCCAGGTACCCACTGGTAGTGGAAGGGATGAGCTGGGCTTAGTCCAAGTGCCCACTGTTGGTGGAAGGGATGAGCTGGGCTCAGTCCAAGTACCCACTGTGGGTGGAAGGGATGAGCTGGGCTCAGTCCAAGTACCCACTGCTGGTGGAAGGGATGAGCTGGGCTTAGTCCAAGTACCCACTGCTGGTGGAAGGGATGAGCTGGGCTTAGTCCAAGTACCCACTGTTGGTGGAAGGGATGAGCTGGGCTTAGTCCAAGTGCCCACCACTGTTGGTGGAAGGGATGAGCCGGACTCAATCCAGCCCACAGCGGCGGGCGGAGGAAGAGATGGACAATCTGGTATCTCCTGCGAGGAGATCCACTGCTTGCAAGCCTTAGTGCTTCGGTATCGAGATGCGTTCGCTTTGAACCCATCTGAGCTTGGTCGCACTTCGGTGCTACACCACACAATTGAGACACGTGATCGTGGTCCTGTTGCACAGGCTACTAGGCGTATGCCATTGTGTCTGTCCTTGCTGGCAGCAATGAACCTACCGTGGAAGTCTTGGCGAGGTCGCCAAGGTCTTTTGTAATGGGTGGAGGGTGAGTGGAACCGATTCGTTGGATACCACCAAATCTATGAAATGGCTCCTGGAGCTCTGCAGCAGTTTTTGTACTGAACCGGATACCTACGTGGAAGAAGGGTGTGTCGACCACACGTTATGGCCTATGGTCTACATTCATCTGAGATGACACGAACTGGCGAACTGTCATACGTATACGCTTTGCGTGAAGATTTGCAACGTGCATTTAGTTGTGCATGACAAGCTGCGTGTTGATCATCAGCACCAGGCTCATCTCTACGATAGTGGAGCAGTACCAGTTTCAGTTTGAAGTTGGAAATTTTTGATGGAAATGTCCCGCCTGTGGAGCCACATTTCGTACTCTATGCCCGTACCTGTTACGGTGCAGAACCAGTTGGCTTGGCCAACGAGAGCTAGGCGGTTACCGTCACGACTCGCCGACTTCCAAGTTGGGTAACATCACGGGGACGTGATTCTTGAGAGGCCGGGGAATTGTCATGACCCGGACTCGACTCGTCGTGAAAGCGACCACGCAATGAGATTCAGCAGCCAAAAGCTGGGCTCCGAAATATTCTAGAGTTCTGTAAGAACCATGATTAGTCCCGCGAAGGATTTGGCACTTTCGTTAGTTGAGCAATCATGGCTTACAACTCGTGGCCTCGAGTCACAGTGTTGTCGTACGGCGGCTACACCTTCAGTACAAGTCGTCAGCATTGTACTCACTACACTGTTGAGCTTGAGGGGACCCTGCTTAGTCCTGCAAGGGAGCTGATACCTTTGTTAGTCGAGCAAGCAAGGCCCCTCTTCTCGCGTCGTACGACGTAAAGGGTCCTGCAAGTGCTTCGCGCACTGCGGACTCCGTTATCCCTTTTTGGGAGAGGTCACGGCTTGACCGTGAAGCACCCTACGGGGTAATGAGAGGGAAGAGCCTACGGGCAGGAGATGAAGGGTGACCAACGACCAAGGCAGCGTACGGAGGCGGCGTGCTCTAGCTGCAGCAACTTCCGACAGCATACTCCAGGCCCCGTCGCACGAAGAGCCTCGGAGTCCTTTCATGTAATGTGGGTGAGCGAGCTCCCCGTATTGATTGATCATTCTTTGTACTATATTCTAGTTTGGCTGATTGCACATATTGCACCACTGTTTGTAATATAGAAATAATCCTTACGCATTCTTGCCACTGTATACTTTTGATCACATAATGTAGCATATATAAGGAGCTGTTTTGCTAACATTCATCCTCGATTCTCGGGGAGCTCACTACTCCTCTCGATTCTGAGAGAGTCACTCCGACTCTCTCCTGCTTTGGTCTTTTGACCCTACACACTTGATCTTTCGATCTAGTACTGCAATGGTTCAAATAAACACTGTTCAAGAAACCTGTCGTTCTATGTGAGCTAGCAACTTGGATGGCGACTATATTGGTCGTCTACCTGGGTAGCCACTAGACTGATCTAAGCCAAGTCACAAACCCGCCAAGCGCGGCCATGACACATGCAGTGTACTTATCAAGCCACACAAGACAGCGAATCAGACACAAGGACACGCCGGGAATATGATATCAGCATTCGGAATTAGGATTAGAAATGGCGAGAGCGTGACTCACACAAGCGAGGAGATATTCTGTGGAGTAGGCACATGATCATCACCAAGAAACTCCTGAGCCTCCTCAGCAACTTGATCTTGTACAGCCATGTTGATCGAAAGGAAATAGATGGCCCAGGACAGAACTAGAACAAAGCACAGTGAAGCGTACAACACACAGAGAAGAAGCGGCCATCATAACCATGCATGCGTATGATCAGAACACAGCAACACAATCATACTACGGACTGTTTTCAGCCAGGGATATACTTACCACATACCCCAAGAAGATGGGTAGGATGGCGTTTTGACAAATGAGCATGCTGCATAGTTGACAGTGCCCGCATTTCCATAAAAAATTCTGTTGTGTACATGTACATGTATCACTATAAAAATAAGCAACGTGAAGAAAGTAAAAAAATAGGGCCTTTGATATTATTGCTACATGTATTTTAAAGTTATCACTATAGCCGATAATAATATAGTGTGTTACGCATGTGTTGATTCTTTGTTGCCATCATAATATCCGATATATCATTACATTCGATAATATTGGTTATAGTGATATTTTTACTGGATAAAATACGTTTTGCTTCACTGTAGCCGATATATTCTTATATCCGGTCACTCTATAGCCGATACAGACTGTACAGTCCTTTACTGGCAGTGAGTCGCCTGACCAAATGGCAGGCCTGATTCTACTGACATGTGAGTTCATGCGAGAGACTTACGATGACCAGTTGTATGAAAGCCACCAACTAGAAACGTCATTGCATCGCCATGAGTCTGCAGTCAGGCAAAGCGAAAATGAGTCCATTGATACAGCGTGTCACAGATTCATTACAAAAAAAAGGCACACATGACTATGATGAACTGCAGCCAGTACAATCTTGTTTGGGGCACACACACAAGTCAGCAAACGCTGCATCTGATGCTCTACGGGCAGTGAGAAACAGCCAGAGGTCCTTGAAAACGATGCAGGAAGGCAGCAACTCCAAACTTCCCGTAGCACCCTCGAAACAACTTCATTGTAAGGGCAAGCGGTGTGGCAACGTGATGTGGACGCTTGGGCCACCTGTGGTGGCAAGATGATTATGGTGAGCATGATAGACAGTCAAACTAGAATAACAGGAATATACAGGAATATAGGATGGAGGCTCTAGTCTTGGTGTGTGGTAAAGCGGCACTGACCTCTTCCTGTGAACGATCCATAGATAGAAGTCGGTCAATGAAGATGGTCTCGTCAACAGGGGTAGTGCCGTCCTGCCTCTCCTGAATGCAACGCTGCACTAGCGCATACATCGCATCACGACCTAGGAACACAACCAGATTAGACAACCCTGACTCACTACCAGACTTATCGGCATCGGTTGACACACCACCATGGATTATAGTACATCCCTCCACATCTTCTAAATCAACCCATTGATGACACTTTAAAAAAAGCGACAGGCACTCCCCCCCCCACCACCATCTTTTCTACTGGTAGTCTAACTAACATAACCGTGTAAAACTGACAAAATGACATCACACCTTTCTTGTCAACAATATGGGCAATGAGGTAATGCACACCACGCGCACTTTGAACACTCACAGTTCACCCAAAACAATGGGGGGGGGGGGGGGTGCGGCTTATACACCAGTGTGGCTTATACTCTGGAAAATGCAGTACCATTTTTGATTGGTTAACCAGTGCATGTACCGAACAAAGTAAACTGTATTTAGAATGAGTTCGTTGTGGTCAGTGTCCGCTGTGCCGAGCCTGTGACTTACATGTATTGAATCTTGCAATTCGTTCTTCTGATGGTGGCCTCATGTCCATACGCTGCTCCATCTCTGACCAGCACTAACAGATACCGGTGCATTCAAGAAGTCATTGCAAAAGAAGAACGTCAGCTACTGCATGGTTGCATAACTTATTTTTTATTTATTTTTGATATGCCAGAAGCGCATGCAAAGAATACCCATGAGACATCATAACAGCACAACACTGAGCATGAGTAGACAAATACATGTAGCATGAATGCCTACCAAATGCAAAGCTGTAGGCTGAATCCTGCGGCATGCATGGGTGTGCACGTCAGTATGAATATTATTTTTAAAGAAAAGAGAACTGGATCACGTAGCATGGCAAATGCGTGTACCTTGTGAACACCCAACTATTGCACCATCCTGGGCATAGTAGCTACTGAAGGACAAGTCACAGGTGTTAGCAGTACCGCGTAGCACTTACTGCATTGTAGTTTTCTCTCAGTTCGTCCAGCTCTCTTGCATTCGCAAAGAACTCGCCGAATGCACAGCGCGTGATGGACTTCATGGCAATGTGGAACATGTCCCGTGAAATGTTCACCCGCTCCCCGTGTCTACCATGTGCAACCTGTCCATAGGCATTCACATACTCTGATGCCACCTACAGTAAAAGAACCACATCATTATCAGCCATACAATGGTTACCAATAATAATGCAGGCATTACTCTAAAAGAATGATTCCCAGTTTCGAGTGAAGATCATGTCCACTCCAAGAAGACCCATTTCGGGCTGCGGGGTACTGTGCCTGACTGTTGCACTGGGGGAGGCAAGGGTGGCAAGCCGGGAGAGGAGATGAGCATCACCCTCCAGCACTACCAGTCTGTTTTAAAAGCCCAATCATAGGAACAGGAGGTCTCTAACATCTCCTACCCATACGGTCAGAATGTACAGTTTTATTCAAAGAATATCACAGGCTGGTAGCTAAACTAGTCAGGCGCAGCCAGCATCTGCCAATAAACAAGATGCAAGATATCCGAGCATACTGAATGGAGATGCCCAGAGTTTTACCATTACAGACCTAAGTACTGCAAGTTAAAAACTGACATACGTCAACAAATACACTATAAACAACTGACGTACAGCAACAAATACACTATAAACAACTAACGTACAGCAACAAATACTCCGTAGAGACATTGTAGAGTCCTATCCTGGAAAGGTGCCCGCAGAAGCTGGTGTCTGGACCTGCCCTCGCTGCCGTTTGCAAACTGGATGCTGTGTTCAGTGATCAGTGGTTCAAACAGTCTGAAGAGTTCCGCTGTAGCACACACACAAGCACACACACACGCACATGATATGTACGATCGTACACACACACACGCACACACACACACACACACGCACACGTACGCACACGCGCACACACACACACACACACACACACACACACACCTATGTGTGATAGTTGAAGCACCAGCAACCCGCGGGTTTCAGTCACACAGCGCAAAGCCAAGCGGGCCGCTATTCGCATCTTCCACATCACGATTTTAATAAAACATACACTGAGAAATCGGAATGACTTCTACATTGAACCAAGCACAAACTGAGCATAACGGTGGACAACAGTGGCTGGCTGAAGAGTGGCATACAAGCACAAACTGAGCATAACGGTGGACAACAGTGGCTGGCTGAAGAGCGGCATACCTGCACGGTTAAATGATCTGCTGAGCGTGCGAAACAGGTCAGGCGAGGCTACACTGAATACTCGCTGTGTGCCCAGGTGGAAGCGAACAAGAGGACTGCCAAGGTCAGTATGGAGCCTCTGCACGTATTGGTGCAGACTGCCTTCCGCATCGATGTCAGCTGCATTGCCAGTGCTGCAAAAGGGCACATAAATATTATTATTACCAAACTAGCTCGTTCACCCCCGTGCAACCACACATCAGAGCAACCTGAACAACCGTTATTGGTTACACGAGTCTGAGATTATCATTATAAATTGGGAGAGCAAAATATGAATTGCAAGTCGAAGCAGACCTCCATGACCAACAACTTCCTCTAAAGCCAAAAAGACCCACAGAAAATACAAGCTGGCATGCCTGCATGCATGCACGTATAAATTCATCATACAAGATGTACAACGCTAGCGTATACTACTCATATACAGCAACAGTCCGCAACAGACCAAGATTCAAAAGATGACGATTCAAAAGTCCGTCACTACGCAAATAAATTACTTGAACGAAGAGAACATCGATGAAGCGTAATTATTACTAAAACGGAAGTACTGCGAAGCAGTTGTACAGTTCAGAAATACAAAGAGGAATTAGACATGGAATCAACTGAGGAACATGTTGTCAAAATAAATAGTTCTTCGTCTTTAAAAAATAAAAGGAAAATACCACCTGTCTTGAAAATAGATAACACAGCACAGCACTGTATTCGCCTTCCGACGGCTGAATGGAATACTGTTGGATGCTAGGTAACACTCATTCTTATCGTCTTGGAGTACTGCCCTGTCAGTCACAGTGTCTTAGCACTATGTATACACATCTCATGCTTGAAAACACTAGTTATCCGCAATGCATCAGTCAGTGCAGGCTGCAGTAACTACAAGTTTGCATGCATTGAGATCGCACTCTGCCTCTACTAGCCGCTCTTGTTTGGCAACGTCTTGGCCTTTGACCTGCTGCACACGTGTCTTTGTGCAAGTTCCGCTTTTGCAGGAAATGTGTGCTTTTTGGCGTTTTCTGGACCCGTAGGTCTGTGCTTCCGGCAGCCTAATTCCCCCGCCAACATTTCAATCTTTGACCTCAGTTGTCCAGCATGCCAATATAGTGTTGGTGCATTTTCTGTGTGAGGATTGGTGGATAGTCATGAAACGCGAGATACAGCTTTTAATTCAGCCTAGTTCCATCGCTACCTTGTTTTTGGCACTTTCTGCAAGGGTATAGAACGTAAGCAACATATCGTAATGGTGGCACATACACCCAGCGGCAACAGAGCAGGCATGTCCAATGGAATACTGTATGGTCCCGGACAGTAGTACTGTTTGCTCCCCAAGTCCGGGTTGGCTCAGCCTGCTTGGCCCGATGATATGCACCACTGGGCCGTGGGATACGGGATAGGAAAAGTAGATTACCTGGGGTCGGATGGCTCAGCACCAGGGACTTCATCTGGACCACGTGTGGGTGGTGGTGAAACGGGCCGGCGTTGCTGGTGAAAACAAAGTACACAGTAATACAATGTACACAGTGTACACAGTGTATGTCATAATGAGCTTGCTGCTCTCCTACTCAGTCTTGTCATGAATCATACGGTGATGGCATGCAACATGGCCTAGGGCAAAGCTCATACGGAATGCAGGCATAAGACATGCCTACAATAACCCACAGCGAACATATGCCACACCGAGCGGGTTGCACCAAGACTCTCTGAGCACCTAAACCGGTTTATGTACTCTTGGTTGCACTCGTTAGTGCAGAGCATGTCTCCACCGGGATGACAGGGGACACTGAATAACGCCACCAGAGCTCTGGCACATCAGTGCAGGCTCATTAGGCAACCACATTATGACAACAGAGCTGTCTAAAGCAGGAATGCGACTCTAGAGTCGCCTAACTCATTCCCGGCATGATACTGGCATACTACCCCGTAGCGGTACCGCGGGCAGTGTCGCCATTGAGTAAACAACCAATGCTATCCACTGCTGTGCTCATCTGCATGCCTCCTGGTCAAATCTGGTTTGAAACACTCTCTGCACACTGTTCCACAAAATTATAGGTTAATCGTCACAATGCAGTGTTGTTCTATTCATTTCAAAGCCAGCTCCCAAGTAGCCAGAACATCTACATTTGTGTACAAGAGCTGTGAGCGAACACTTTCATTTTCAAAGCTGAACGTTCACATCCGTCACCACTATGCCGCGTGTCTACAAGTGCCGAAGCACTCCATAAGATTTAGTGCCACGCTTATGCATGTCCATGTGCAGTATTTATGCATACATGTATAAACGTTCGTACATACCCTGCTAGAAGTGCACACACCCTACTAGAAGTGCACACACGCCTCAAATGACACACACACACACACACACACACACCACACACACACACCATGTACCATGCATACGCCCATCGCAAGAGAAGCGCGCAAATCTGCAAATGCACTGGATGTACACCCTCAGATTTTTCTCTTATAGCAACGATAGCGGACAAGATCTGAATGAAACAGATCAAGACTAGCGCCAGATAACTGCCTAATCCACACAACTGGCGAAGCAATGCCGGTGGATCGCGCGCGCACGCACATATACACACACAAACACACGCATGCACGCACGCATGCACGGGCGCGTATATCTACACACTATGTTATCGGCCCAAATTTGCGGATCTCCACTACCGGTACATGTAGCTACTATGATATAACCTAACACTGGACGGTGGTGAACAATATGTAGCTACTATTATATAACCTATTAACACTGGTGAAGATATGTAGCTACTACAAACAGTACTTCAGTATAGTACCAAGCTAACACTCAACGTGAATTCTGGTCTACAATGTAATGAGTATTTTGCCGGACTACCGGTATTTTCTAGAATGAAGACTGAGTCCATGATCAACACCAAGAAAGGTATAGATACGTACCGGGTCGGCAATGGGTGGAGGATGGCGAGTCCGTACTATAAAGTAGGCGACCATGAGCACGATGGCCAATATCGTAAGGCCAATAATCAACATAGTGACTCGGTGCAAGTGAGGGCCAGTTTCTCCTGAGGACAGCTAGCACCAGTTGCAGTGCCACCACTGCTAACAGCGATAGAGAGTGGCGGAGGCGGACAAGGATCCCAGCAGCCCTACGAGTCGTACCAAGCCAGGCTGGAGCCCGAGTGACTTTTCTTCTTCTAGTTCGACTTGTCTTCGCTAACTAGTACTTAGTAGTTACTTCAATACAGTCAGTATCGCCTATAGCGTTGGTGTTTGATTTTGAGCATTTTATCACTATAAGCGATATATTACTATGACCGATACTGCATGCAATGTATGCGAGTGGGGTGTCAAACGACTCAGCGCGCTGTGCACATACGCACTACATACATGACAATGTCATGTAGCTGGCTGTAGCTCCTGACACAGAAAATCAGCATTTCCTCACGATGGAGGCATATTTTGGCAACTAACTTGTGCGAACAAAACTCACCAAACAACACTCACTGGACAAGTTCTTCACGAAGAAGTAACACCCTGTTCTCCTCTAACATCGCTTGCTTTTACATCAATCACTATAACCGATGCAAACATAATGATTGTAATAAAGGTCTTTTGAAATAAGAATTTGATCACTATAGGCGATATATTACTATAGACGATTATTACTATACGCGATAACTGTGTATACTTAGTTATAGCAAATGAAAATGAATTTGAGAAATTGATCACTATATCCGGTATATTACTATAGCCGCCAACCTTATACTAAGTTATAGGCGATACGGACTGTACTTGGGCATAGAGCATGTTCATAGAGTCCTTCCTGCAATCCTGGCCTGGGACTTCGCGTAAAATCTATACTACAGTACAGGCTACAGTAGTACAGCGTTGGTAGATCTACAACACAGTACCAGGTATATACAGAAGCCTTGCTTGGTAGTTAAAGGGGAAGTATACCCTAAAATCAAATTTTCACCAGTTGTAGTCTTCTGGGTGCTGAGTCGAATGGTCTTGGTCCGAGGAAGCTGCGACGCTCCCTTCCTACTTGAATCCCAATCGAACTCGCGCACTTCCACCGAAACTGGGTGACTGCGCCCTACTAGATGGGGATTTGTATGCAAAATGTCACTAAAAGCGCCATTTCGTTCTTATAAAAGCACGGATGACCGCGATTGGCCCATATGTTGTAGTCTTTTGGACGCTGAGTCGACTGGTTTTGGTCCGAAAAGGCTGCGATGCAGCGTTCCTCCTTTATTCCCAATCGAACATGGTTGAACAAGCGGTCACGTGCTCCTGGGTGCCCAAATCACCTGGTCACCGCGCCAGCAGGCGAGAACTTTCACACCAAGGTTCAACTCGAGTTCAACTCGAGTGACAGGACTGCACCCAAAAAAGGTCAAACAGGCTAGTAAGTTGTACCCTGCAGGCACGGTGACCAGGTGACTGGTGTACGCAGGAGCACGTGACCGCTTGTTCAACCATGTTCGATTGGGAATAAAGGAGGAACGCTGCATCGCAGCCTTTTCGGACCAAAACCAGTCGACTCAGCGTCCAAAAGACTACAACATATGGGCCAATCGCGGTCATCCGTGTTTTTATAAGAACGAAATGGCGCTTTTAGTGACATTTTGCATACAAATCCCCATCTAGTAGGGCGCAGTCACCCAGTTTCGGTGGAAGTGCGCGAGTTCGATTGGGATTCAAGTAGGAAGGGAGCGTCTCAGCTTCCTCGGACCAAGACCATTCGACTCAGCACCCCAAAGACTACAACTGGTGAAAATTTGATTTTAGGGTATACTTCCCCTTTAACATGTTTTTCGATTTTGACAGCATGTTGCAAGGCGAGGACGCGTAGTGCTCCTGACTACAACCATAAACCGGTTGGCAGAGTCCCGGTCTTGCTGTTGTGCGCGTTCTGTCGATTTGGAAAATCGATCGATTTTCTTGCGCGATCTGTCGATCGACAGATCGCGCAAGGATCGATCGATCGGAAAGCGGTGGCGAAACCATTCAAAACAAATCGATCGATTTGGAGCAGCTCCGAAACGTCGTACAGTGTATGTTTAGGACTTTGGTGAACAGCTTTTCAAATGAAAGAAACCAGTTACGGTACCTTTTCTGAGTGCAATCTTCTTCCCCAAATAATTCAAAAATCAGTTCCTTCCGAAAATTCCATCGTGCTGGACCTCGAAGCTGAACGTCATAAGCAAATAGTCAAGCCGTGTGTCGTCTGGATATGCAGTTGTTTGTCATAGCCACCATTCTTCTGGTCCGTTCGTCCTGCCATTTTCCTGACGATCGCAATGAATACGAGCAGCTCTCATGCTCAGGTTAGTGTTTATTGATCTGTCTCTGCACCCACTGCAAGGTATAATTTTTGTGATGCAGCCACTAGCCCATTGTGGAAGTAAGGGAATCACCCAGGTTCTTCGGATTCTCGTCCTGTCCGAAAAATCTCCACGTTTCAACTTCTCATCTTCCCCTCAGGCATGAGCTTGCATATTCATATTTTGTGTTTGCTTTGACAGTGCATTTCATAGGAATCGTTCAGACTTTTAGGGCCCTGTAAAATTGGTGTTTTCCTTCCCGACAGTGATAATAATCGCAATCTATAAAATACATGCGCAGTCATTCTATAGTGTGATAAAACACAAGTGTAACTGTAAGAAAAGAGAAAGAGAGAGGGTGAATAAAACAAACATATGTGCAAACTACAGTTACGGTGCTAAGGAAAGAATGTGGATGCCGTGACATGTTCTTTCTGAATGCATCGGTCTGGCTTACGCTTGTGAATGTAAACAGCATCTATGACTTTTAACTGATTGAAATTCTTTGCAAAACAAACAATACTACAATTGTAAACCGAGAATCATTATACGCCAAACGACACGGGTCACTGAACAATAAATGCTTAAACCCTGCCGTGTTCTTCTTCTCATCGCCAACCTCCCCTTCATCTTCATCCTACAGCGTAAAATGAGTGAGGTGTGGTTTGAGATATGGTTGTTTTTTTAGTTGCCGTGAGAGGGAGAGACAGAGAGAGAGAGAGAGACAGAGAGAGAGAGAGACAAAGACAAAGACAGACACACAGACAGAGACAGAGAGAGAGAGAGAGAGAGAGAGAGAGAGAGAGAGAGAGAGAGAGAGAGAGAGAGAGAGAGGGAGAGAGTGAGGCTCTGTCGTTCTGGAGATGTGTTGGCGGTTTTCTCTTTCACCTCTCTTTTCTCTTTATAGTTTTTCACTAATTCGTCATTCAACCCAGAGCTGTGTTTGTTGGCTGGTCGACCACAGGATTTTGTGTGGGGTTGTTCTGGAGTGTCGGACTTTTGTTGTAGTGTGACTGTTACAGTCCTGAAACACATGCAGTAGACACACTACTATAAATACACTAAAAATGTACAACATGCGCACATTTCCTGGATTGATCAGTGTGGATCGATGGCAATACAGTTGTAGTCTGTAAGCAAACAGCGCCATTTTGACTAGGGTGAAATGGTCAGATAGGTTAACCGGTTATGTAACCGTTAAGAATACACGAACAGTTAACCATATGCATATGGGTTAATCGGTTATTTTCTTTCAATGTCCGCTGTACATAATATACGTGACAGCATGTGCGTACCCTGTCAGTACTGTGCACAATGGATGTACGGCGTGTATCTCCCTCATCTCTGGGGTTGCTCCCCATATTAGTGATGCTTGCGTATGCTCATGATGAGGTTGAGTTGATTAAATGACAAGGTGATGGTGCAATCCGAAGCCCAATGGAGCATACAAAATATTAAAATATGTTGAACCTTTCGTTCAGAAAGTAGTGGACATTCACGCAACTGCATTGTAAATATAAAGGGGGGTTGTCAACTGGCAACCGCTCTATTTAGTTGTTATTCACTCTTTGTTGAACCTGCTCTGGAAAACTGAGCAAAATATAATATGCATCCACTATACATATTGTAAACAGTTTCGTCTGAGACAAAAATGCGATAATACTCATAATACTCATAAAGTATACTTGTGAAGACAAAAACTTTCAAGACGTTTGTAATGAGCCTGAAATGTGTCCTTTTATGAGTATTATACATATTGTAGTGATTGTTTTGGCAGTGCGTGAGGTCATGGTACCATGGATACATGGATTTACAGTCATGTACAGCAATGGTACATGAATACAGGCTACATGTACAGTTTATCTCTTATAGGTTGTAGCAAGAGTAGATAAACAAGAGTAGCCAGTGCAGGCTGTCGTAATAAAACGACTCATCCGTGTTCCATTCTCGCGCATGGTACATGCATGGTGCGACGGCACAATGACAGCTGTCGCAAATAACACTGAGTATTACGCGTGTTTTTTTGGTGATTCCTGGTTAGCTGCTAGCTTTTCCCTACTCGAAGATGTTGCCGCCGCGAAATCTGGGGGTTTGTGTTCGTCCTGGCGAAAACCGTGTTTCGATCCGTTGAGCGAGACGAGAGATACAGTGCGAAGACGTACGATCTGTCCGAGAATCGGCGAAGAAGAAAGCTTCGCAGGCGACCCGTAGTGGTTGGGAACAGAATGGAACATATACCAGTCGATGCCTGTCATGGTAGGGATGACTGCTACGAAGTTTTAGCCCCATGCTCCCCAGCGCTTTTTAGCGCCCGACGATAATTACCAAATTTCATCGATTTTCCATGTGGATCAAAGCATAGTCTCCCCAATCTTCTCCAGTCGAGCTGAGTCTGGACGCTACAATGTCGAGACGCGAAAAGAGAACATGCATGAACACACAGGAGCATCACATGCAGCTGCATTCTGCCTTGACGAAGCTGAGAACAACACCAGCAGTTGCACCACGCATTTGGAAGACATTTCGAAGAAGACGAAGAACTACATATCTGCGTTCAAAAAAGCCTCTGTACTGTGCAGTATGCATGCGTGCATGCGCGAAGCACGGGGTCCGCGGATCAACTTCGTTCAAAAATCATTGACATTGTGCCACACGGGTTGCATGATTTGTGTGCGATCATGGCCTTTCTTCTTGACAAACAAAACTGAAGTTTTTCGATCTTCAAATCGCCATAGCGTCCTTGTCATGACTCCAAATCAGCTGAAACTTTGCAGGAGGAATGAAAATGCCATGCTGAATCGATTGGTACCATTTTCGAAGGGTTTCCTTGAAAAATAAAATTTAGCCTGCACTGGCTAACAAGAGTGTGCAACTCTGGATCTCTTCTGCACAATCTGCACATACCCCTGCCCGTGGCAGCATTTT